CCAATGAACTATATTTCCTAATGTACCACTATTGACATACAAGGAAGAACGTAACAGTCAAGATATTAGCAGCAAAAGAAGCCAAGGAAATAACAGATTAACTTAAAAAAAAAAGTGTTTTTGTAAGACCACTTTAAAAAATGATTTTGTACTGGTTTGATTAAGTAAATTTCGAGGACGAAATTTCTTTTAGAGGGGAAGAATTGTAACATCCCAAAACTTATACTTCGTATAGTTCAAAATAACAAATAATAAAATATGTGCATGCAAAATTTAATAAGTGATTTACTTATTAAAAATACAAATAAGTAAAACATAAATGTATACAATTAAGAATAATATTATCAAAAATATATGAGTACTAATAAACGTATAAATAATGTTCGATGATGATGATCATTTAATTACGTACACTAATTATTAGTGTATAACACACCTATAGACGTGTATATTAAATGCATATGGGAATGGCATAGGAGCAATTAGTATCCTATCAATATAATATATATTTGCATGCTTACACGTGTATAAGAAATGCGTGCTTCACATATACATAGGTGAACAATTGGTCAAATACTAAAAAGAATAAAACAAAAGTTACATGCAGATCAAAACAACTTCTTTAATTTTCACATATGCATGCATAAAAATACAAACGAATTAGAAAGCTCATTCATTAATTCAATATATATTAAAAACGAAAAATTGAATGAAGTATGCATATCAAAGTAAGTTGATTTTAATTGAAAATAATTATTGTCTATTAGAGATAAATGGTCCGAGTAGCCAAATCTAATTGTGAAAATAATAACAATAATACTATAATTTCCGAATACCTTGCCACAATATAAATTCTTTAGAGATACATAAAAATATAAAAGAAATTAAATAAATAAATCTAAAATGAGACAAGGTTGACACTTGGCTATTCCATGCATATATTACAAAGGAAAGGGAATGACTCATCACATGCATAGGAGGACACTCGGCAGATCTATTGGAGAAAAGAACAAAAAGAGTAAGTGTATTAATATTAGTAGGAAATGACTACCTAGCTAGCTAGTACCACTAGATAATTAAACTTAAGCCTTACAATATAGAATGGATTGCATGAGCATCGTAAGGAAGAAAGGAAGTAATAAGATAGGATGAGATTGATGAAGAGAGACTAAAGGATCGTAAGGTGTGAGACAAATTTGGGATTTGTAGAGGTCTGTGTTCATTCCTTCTCCTAAATATATTTTAAATTATATTGTTATTGTTTTAATTTTATTGATACATTTCAGTTTAAATATATTGTTTAGCTAAACTGCTATGTTTTAATATATTGCTATGATCTATTATTTCTTTAAAGAATAACTATGTTTTACTCACAAAGTTAAAGGCACCTTATTACATGCTATAAATTCAAGGGAATGGATGGTAAAATGTTGGAAACAAAATGTGTCGGTGTTGAATTATCATGGACGTTTACTTAGTTCAAATATTATAAAATATAATGATAGAAATTTCAACTCATCAGTTACCACATGTATACTATGATGTAAAGTACGTAGACAATAATTTTAAATATGTACAAATTACATGTGCATGTAATGGGTTACACATAAATAAAAGTGAAAAGAATTATTAGGTAATATTTATATTAGTGGAGACCGAGCTCAGCAAATATGATAGGTTTAAATAACTCATGCACAACTTAATTGACTCCAGAACATTATTTATATAACTCGGAACATTGTTATGATACATAAACTCAAATATATTACTTATATCTATTCAGATATAAGTAATTTTTGGTTGGTTATAACGATGATGTTATTTTAATTGGAAGCTGACAATAATAATAGTAATCATACATGCGTAATTCAAATAAATAAAAATAAATGGAATTCGAAACCTCGTTTCTGGATTCGGATAAGTTGGCATGCCAATAGGGATAAAAACACGGCCGTAGAATTTGATCAATGATTTCGGGTCCGTAGCCACCGAGTGGACAGTACCCAAATCTTGATATTTGATACACGCGCGCTCCTACACGGGTCCGTAGCCACCGAGTGGACAGTACCCAAATATGTTCGTTTACGGGTCCGTAGCCACCGAGTGGACAGTACCCAAACGAACCCCGGCCAGAGCCACCGAGTGGTCCGTGCCAAAATAGTTCTCTGATGGTCCGTAGCCACCGAGTGGACAGTACCAAAGATGAGAACGTCCCGTTTATCCAGTCCATTAACCTAAAGAGTAGAATTCCATAAAATCAATAAAAGGATAATAAAAGGATATAAGTGTGAAAACGAAAAAAAAAAACGATGGAGAATGAAAATGAACAAAAGATGAATAAGAAAGAAGAATGTCGAATGGAATATTGATTTACAGTGAGATATATGAAGATGTGGAAATGGAGGCAGAAAGAATGAAAGGTAAAAATGCGAAAATAGAATTATGAAAATGAAAGAATAATGTGAATATAAAGATGAAAAAAGAAACGATAGGAGAATGTAACATTATATTCCATTGAAAGATTAGATTTTGCTCATAAATTATTTGTTCTCAAATAAGCTAACCTTGAATAGACAAGGGAATAAGTTAATATTGAGTAATTAATAAGTTACGACTTTACATTTAATCTGGTTAATAAGCTAATCATGAATTGAATTAGTTGTGCTTATAAATAAACTATTGAGATTTCAAGGAGTTGATTTTAATTTGTATATTATTATTAAGAGCCCGTTTGGAGAACTCTGTTTTCGGCTTATCAGGCTTATCAGCCAGCTTTTTCACCAAACACGTAACTTTTACTTTCGCGCGCTGAATTGTGTAATAAGCCGAAAAAGTAAGGTTGGAGTTACTTTTCTGGCTGTATTGGCTGAAGTTACTGTAGAGGACCATTTTAGCTATTTTTACATATAATTTTTTCTTTAATTTATTAATAAAATATATTTTTAAAATATTTTTTTCTTAAATCACCAGAATCAGCCAAAACAGCCACTCCAGCCAGAATATCATAAATTTCAGCAGAATCAGCCAAAACAGCCGATTTTGGTGCTACCAAACGGGCTCTAAATGAATTGAAAAGCCACTTGAAATGAAAGGTATTCTTTTGATATCTATAAGTCGGGTAAAATCGTTCTTGATAAATTTCTATTTTCAAGACCTTATATTTGTAGTGTGATTCTTAATTGTTGAGTTATTTTGTGATATTTGATATTGATAATGTATGGGGAAAGAATGAACACCACTAAGCAAGATTTGCTTAGCGCGTTGGATTTTTGTCCTTCGCGTAGGTACACAGTCGATACAAGGCAAAGTTCAAGGATGAAAGCATTTGGGAGCAATCTGCCAATCACCACAGAGTCATACTTGCATTTAGTAATATTCATATTTAGTCTGCATAATAAATATGTATTTAGCATAATAGTGTGATGTAATAGCAACACTAAATTTTTACGTGTTATGTATAAAATATGGATGCTTCCGCAATTATGAACTTTTATAAAATTATCATTACTAGTTCGTTTTTAAGATAAAAGTATTTTTTTGAAATATTGAAAAGAAAAAAAAATAGAAAGTTAGTTTGCGCTTTGGTGCTCCGGCACTGCGGGTAGCGCTCACTGCCCTAGCCTTCCGGGCCGGGTAGGGGGTGTTACATTAGGCCTGGGCGGGCTAGGAAATTTTTGGGTACGGCCCGAGAGTCTACCGGTATAGGGCCGGGCTGATTCTTATATTTTTTTAGGTTTTCTTTGGTTATTCCAACCCCCCACCCCCACCCCCAAAACCCCGCGAAAACACCCAGCCCAGCCCACCTACCATAGGCCTAAACCCAAAAAGACAAAAAAATAATTAAAAATACCCGGACCAGCCGGGCCGGTCCCCAATTATCCAACCCCGGAACCGCCCCCATTAACCCCCGGGTCAGGCCTAGGCCTGGTATTGGATCCGGCTCACTGGGCCGGGCCGGGCCCGCACAGTGGCGGGCCGGTCGGACCGGTGCTGGGCCAAGCCTACCACCAGGGATGGATCCAGGATTTTGACTCGAGGCGTAGAATTTTTTCCGTAAGTATAGAGGACAAATTATATAAAAGTTCCTAGTTTTGTAATGTTTAATTATCTCTAATTTCTTGCTTGTACTGTAATTAATAATCACCCGCATCAAATGGCACTACGAATCAATGTAAATTAGTTACCGGGTCGTAGGACTTTCCAAGAAAAACCATAACCAAGGAAATTACGTACACCCTCATCTCTTCTCCTGTGACTTATTAAATTTGATTGATATATGGAACATTAAACTAAATATTGTGTGATTTAATTTTGTATAAAGCAGAACCCACACGGGTAGCTCAATTGGTCGAGTGGTGGGAGATTTGGATCAATGGACCAAGGTTTGAATCTCCGCAGCGACCGGGTGGAAGTCACAGCACCTGAAATAAGGTTGGGTCTCTGGTGCGCACGGGTGTATGGGCCTACTGCCACTTTGCTGACTGAGTCATCGTGACTAACCTCCCCACCATCCTGTCGGGTCGGGGCCGCGGGGGGGGGGGGGGGGGGGGAGCTCTTGGGGTGTGAGATTCTACCTTTTGGATCAAAAGTTTGTATAAAGCAGATAAATAGAAACTATAAATAAATTGTTTAAAAGAATAAGTGACAATTTTTGGAATGATCGAAAATAAAAGTTGAGAAAGTGATATGCAACGAAGGGAGCACAAATAACTAATCAATTTGTTACTTCTCTTGGAAATATACGTACAAGCCAATTTAGATAGGACTTGTTAAAGGTGGACTGCATTCCGAATTAGGACCGTGTTCAATTGTTCATTAGGTTGAAAATTTAAGCCATATCAGACACTACTATTTTTTTTGTATTATAAGATAGTAGTGTCTGATATTTTTGTGACCATATGAACACCATAAATCAAGCCATATTATTATTTTTTGTACTAAAAGATGGTAAAGAAAAAAATAGATAGTATGTTATATGGATATGTGTCTTAACCATCATCCTACTATTTTGTGTGAGTTTTGCGATAATATGTGCTCTTCAAATATACCATGAAAAGGTTGATCACCCATTGCAAAATATCAGTCAAATCAGCTATGTTTGATTAAACCAGCAAAGAAAATGCGGATCCGTCATTTCATGGACATAGGCATAGTTCGGATTACGGTGGTGATGAACTGATGATGGTGATGACGTAGGGGTTATCCAATGATCTCAACAATCTGGTAGTTGAAAAGAAAATGTAAACACATTTGAGATGGGGGGAGCTCAGGCTAATGCAAAGAGTAACATACACAAAAAAGAAGAAATGCTATACTGTATTTAGGATATAAGAATGTTATGTAATATGTAAAATGGCTATTGTAGCAATCAACAAGCTCTCATATTTACAAGGTGTTGTTACGTCGTTACATCAGCAAAAATCCATACACTTTCTGGTTTAGTCAGACTCATATTCTGAAAAGAACTTACCTTCCGAGCCCTCATCAGATTCATATCGATTTCTTTCAGCAGCAAGGCGACTGTATGAAGATTCTTCCTCTAAAACACAATTGATTTCCTTTCTATATAAACCTCGACTACGATCCAGGAATCCTTTACCCATCATACCAGCCAACTTCTCCCTTAAATCGACAAGGGGGTGCTTCTCAATGAGTTGGCTGCGATCATACGCTTCTCGAAGGACAACAGTTTGTGTGTCACCCTTTTTGGAAATGTAAAAAATTCCTGGATGCCTCTCAAACACTTTGGTGAACTTCTGGGGCAACCCCAACGGTTTACGGAGATTGCTCACATTTTCCCTCTCTGTCATCTTCTGCAAAGTAAGGTGCAAAAGCTCATGAAAGACTCCCACAATTCGCTTCTCTGAAACATCCGTGCGGGGATCCAAATGTGAGGCATCTGCAAAAGGAGAAGTATAAGGTAGCTTCTGCCACTCCTCTAACCACTCCATAAACTTCCTTCTCAAACCAAAACCCCTTGTGAATCCGATAGGAAAACCCAATGTTCCATCCTTCATCAAACTCTTCATTTCCAAATGGGAAACTGCCAAGCTATCATCCCAGAGTAAAAGCTTTAGTCCCACACGATCATCACAAAGGCGAACAAAAGAAAACAATTCGGAAGCGTTATTGGTGAACAATTTCCTGTAATCATTCGGCAATCCCATATCCCACTTCAGCTGATCAAGGGTTTGCAGAGGGAGCGTTCTATCCTTAGTTATCATAAGAAGCTTCCTCAGCCGGTTAACTATATCCATATGACATAGCCTACGTATCTCAATTTCTTTTTGGTGAACCTCTAGAGCGTCGGAAGTTAATCTGTAGCAAGGAACTGGAGTTCCACCAGAATCCCGACGGTAAAACTCCTCGAAGATGTTCGGGTATCTTCTAAGAAATGTAGAAAGCTTGAGGTCAAGAGGGAGGCCAAGCTGGCTAGGGAGATGGTAAATGGGAAGCCAAAGTTGCGGTTCGGAAGCAATGACAGAAAGAAGAATGGAGGCAGCCTTAAGCTCTCTCCGGCCAGCTACTGCGGTGTCCAAGACGCTATCTTTTACCCACTTCAACTTCACGTTGACTAGAGTTCGCTTCTGATGATGACTCGAAGCGGTGTTATTTTCTCCGGATATTGTCCTCTTCAGCATTTCATCGAACGGGTCGCGTGCATTTGCCTAGTATGAGCATTTACTTGAACTCCTGGGGTGGGCAATCGAATATATGAGGACGGTGGGTTATTGACTAATAATCGCTGCTAAACATAGGCAAGGTGCAACGCGGTCTGGAATCTACATCTATTTTTCCTCCTGCCTGCCAACATTGCAGCTATATAACAACGGCGGAATCAGAACTCGTAACTTGCAGGGGCGCATTAACAATAAACTCATAAACATCACAAATATAACAATAAACCAAACTATAAAATTTAAACAAAACAACTAATTAAAGAGTACCTTAATTTTGGTGTATAAATTATTCGATGAAGAACCACCAATGCTCGGCCATTTAGATTTCGGTGTATAATATCGTAACATAGCAATTGTTTGTCAAACAAACTAGACTAACTACAATTGAAATAATATGAGTATAATTATACAGATTAAATTATAACAAAACAACATTAACTAAATTTACAATATAATAATAATATTTTTAATGATATTATCACAATATAATTCTAAAACATTCAATAGTGTACTTGAATCCAACAAAAAAAGTATTCAACTATTAGCAATTTATTTGAATTCAACGAATAAAATTCAACAAATAAACAATTTTAAATGAAATGACCAGAAAAGAAATTAGGTTAAGGCGTTAAGCGGCTTACCTGGAGTCTAGAGATGGGAGCACCGTCGCACCGGCCACCGGAGAATCGGAGATTAAGCCGGAAATCGAAGGGCCGAACTGCCGAGGGGGTGGTCCGTGGTCTCCCACTCGTCGTCCTCCGTGGTCACACGCCGACTCGCAGCAGCGGCAGCACTCCTCCAGTCCTCCGTCGCTGTCTGCCTGTGTCGCTGAGATGCTCGTTGTCGTCGTTGAAGCTTGTAAGGCTCTCTTTTGTTTAAATAAAAGCATTTTTTTTTTGTGATTAGTATAAAAGTTGGTAGTATTTGTTAAAATAAGTGCTTTTTGTGTAATAGAAAAAGTAAAAAGTATATTCTACACGAAAACCGAGAAAGTAAAAGTTGGTAGTATTTGGTAAAATAAGTGTTTTTTCTTAAAAAAAGCCACAATCACTTATTTTAAGTGATTGCAAACAGAGCCTAAGTCAGTCACGCAGCCGACTAACGCTAATGGCCTGTTTGTTTGGGGGTTAACCTATGTTATTGAAGGTTCAATTTCTAGTTAACCCCATTTGTTTGTATTTTTGCAACAAGAACTTAGGTTATGTGTTAACCTCACTTAACTCCCGAGAACCTGGAAGAACCTTAAATTGAAGAACCTCCGAATCGAGTGTTTTTGGAGGTTAAGTTTTCGTTTAACATAAAATGAGCTAGAATACCTTCATCCAAACAACATTTATTACATTAACCTAGGTTCACCTTCTATATTTCCAAACACTATTTTACGTATGGACCTAGGTTCACTTAGGTTAACTTAGTTTTTATTAAAACTTATGTTTACTTTATTGCATTAGGTTTACTTAACCTCACTCTATCCAAACGGAGCATAAGGGGCGGGGAGTTGGGCACTTGGGCTGCTAGGGAAAGGATTATGGGCCGGCACATGAGCACATCCGCACAAGGGATGGGCTAAGGGAAATGGCTTTTGGGATTGAGCTGCAAGGGGCAGGGGCTCATAATAATACGGAGTACATATTACAAAAATTATCCAAGGAGGGTAGTTTTCAATCTATACTTTTGATTACCATAGATGGGAGCAAAACATTAACAAAATTCTAAAATAGGAGTGTTTGTTGATTTATTCCCTACATAGGAGCTATTAGTTGATCAATCAGTTTCATTTGTCAATTATACCCTTCGTATGAGTTAATTAATTTACTTTTCCTTTTGCCAGACCCATCTCCTTTTCTCACGCAACAATCATAACCCCTCACTTCTCTCTGTTTTCACGCAACACCAAAACACCTCTCTCCCTTCTCTCCTTTCATCTCCCTCCTCCCCCATCTACTTGAGTTTGTTTTTCCATTTTAGATCTAGCTTTTTCTCCCACCTTTCCATTTCCGCCAGTTACACAGTACTCTTCAATGGTGAGTTTTCTTCCCAATTCTGGCACTGGCGAGCAGCGGCAATCACTTAGGTAAGTTTTATCTTCTTCTCCTCTGTTTCATTCTTCTTCTTCTCCTTTTCTTTTCTTTAATTTGCTTGGCAGTGGGGATGACCCTTTTGGTTTGAGGTTGGGTGAAGTTAATTTCGCTCCTTGATTTCAAAACCCATTTTTTTTTATTTTGATTTAATTTTCTTTTTTCTTTCCAGATCTATTTCATTCTTGATTTTCTCTGTCCGATTTTTTTATTGCTTGTTTTGTTCTCTCTTTCAATTTTGTTTAGCTTTTTTTGTTTTGAGTTTTGAGATTTGGTTTCAAACAATATTCTGTATTTTTTCAGTTTTCTGAATTGAATCAGAAGTTGCAGTAATTGCTCTTCTAATGTGATTTTTATTGTATTAAGATGAAATATTGTTCCTTTTTTTAAGCAAAAAATATAATTTCTTTGTAAATACTATATTAATAATGACATATTTTCCCTGTAAAAGTATTGTTTTGGCACATAGTGTCATTTTTTGTCATACTAACTCCTTGGCAAACACATGGCTAATAATGCCATATTTTTCATATAAAAATGTTATTTTTGCACATAGTGTCATTTTTTTGCCATAACAGATGGCAATATTTGACAAATGTCATTACAATATTCATAATGCCATTACAATGTCCAAACGACAATGAATTTACCTGTATTCTAAGATGAATGTCATTCACTACTAGATTTTTGGGGTTTCCATACAAAGACTATTTGTAGGGAAATATCATATTTTGTAGGTGGAACGCTTTCTAGACAAAAAAAAATTGTGGCGATGTTCGAAGCGAAAGATATAACCCGACAAAATTCATAACTTTGTCTACAAAAGTTTATGCATACAAAACTTTTCTCGACAAATAAATTTTGTCTTCCAAGTGCTTTTACATCAACATTATTGTTTGTAGGCTCAAGATATTTTTTCCAACAATAATTTATCGTATGGAAAAACTTTTGGTGATAAAATACTTGTAAGTTATGAATATGTTTTATTTTGTAGAAAGTTATTGGACGGAAGAATGTCTGTTTCACTACTTTGTAGAGCTGTTTGTAGGCCTAACGTCAGTTTCATCACAAATGATTTTATAGAAGACTATTTTGTAGTCTAAACATAATGGTTGCTGCAAAAAATCATTTGTAGGACCTATAATTTGTGGGAACATTTTTGAAGCCACAACTAAATGTTTTCATAATTAACGGTTTGGAACATACTCAACTTTGTAAGATAAATTACAAGCAAAGGATGTGCATTATAAAGTTTAACAACTCCATATCAAACTAACATTAAAAACATTGATGCATATCATCAACCTCCAATTCATCATACACCAATTCGTTGACTAGCTACAAAATGTATCTCATATGTTTCAGCTAATGCATGGCATTAAAAAGTATATAATTAAACGTGACAAGAGGTAGGGTCTTGGTAGCCATTGCAGCCTTGATCCTCTGTATTTCTTTTCCCGAGCTGAGGACTTTTGTGCTTCAAGCAATTCTTTAAGCCTCTTGGTAGTCATTGCATCCAGCCTCTGTATTTCTTCAAAGAACCTGAAATATATACTTTGTCATGTATGACTTTAATATATTCAAAGATAAGTAGAAAGGGAGAAATAATCACCATTTTTAGCATTGATTCTTATCTAGAAGTTTATGCCTCTCCAATTCATTTCTCCATCCTTCTTTCTTTAGCTACCTGCAAAGAAATTCAATATATCAATGGACTAAGTATTTGCTCAAAAAAACACATATAAACAATTGATAGTATACTAATATGCAGTTACAATAATGAATACATGTCAAAAACAACATATCAACTACCTGCAACAGCATAGAAACTAAACAATGTATGGTTTCTAGTAACACAAACTTTGATTGTACAATTTCCTTTGTGTGGTTTCAGATAATTATAAGTGGATGAACTCTCTTGGTCATTGCCACGAGTGTTGGGGGCGATCTAGCAATACAAAATCAGCCGCAAACCCCTACAAATTGAATAATGTCATGCTATTCTTTATAAAAGACACTAACTAATATATAACATAGCGCAATTTGAACAAATAAATCTTGGGACAATCTTTTAACATGGACCAGCTTTTTCAATGAGAATATAAAAGAAGATAGAAGTGCCAGTTACTAATAATATTAGAAAAGGGGGCAAGAGAAACTCACTTTCCAGTTTGTTCATGCATAATATGTGCAGCTGATTAGGAAGTGTGAACGATAATATGGTTTCTAGAAAGTCTCCCCAAGAAAAATAACATAATACAATGTGTCGAAAAACAAACCCATCGGATCAAGAATATCATTAGTTGGTGGAATATACCTCAGTTTAAGCTCTTCAGAAGGAGCTCAATTGTCTTTAAATAGTGCACTCAATTGCTTCTTCTTTGGCACTTGACATGGAAGTTCTAGGTGCATCATTTGTCCCTATGGTTTCAGAATTGGAATCATTGGAAAGACTCTCATAATTAGGACTGTGCATTAACCGGGTCGGACCGTATTTTAGACCTGAACCGGACCGGAATGACCCGGTCCGGACCGGACCGGTATTTACCGGTCCGGGTTTCGGTCCTTAGTTTTTCAAGATTCCGGGTTTCCGGTCCGGTCCGGGTCAAACCCGGAAAAAACAGGTCCGGACCGGAATAGACCGGTAACCTATTGTTCCATAAAATATATACTTAGTTTTGAATCATTAGTCAATTTATATTTGGCTTACTACTATGTTTATGGCTTATTTTTGCCTTTTGTTATATAAACGAATACATACGGAGTGTGTATTAGGTGTCTAATTATTTCCTAAGTTGTTTATAATTTTTTTTATGTAGCATGTCCTAAGTTTTTTATTGATCGTACTTTATATTTGTTTGATTTTTCCAAATCGCTTTTTATTTGTTTCTTTATTTGCAGGTGTGTATGTATTTTATATGTAGTATATTTTTGGACGTAATTTAGTTTTTATTACCCCACAATAAATTTTGCCAATTTAATACACAAAAGATTGTAGTTTTAAATATTGTGGGATACTAATTGTTACGATTGAATAGTTTTGATGACTATATTCCAAAATTAATAAATGAGCTAAATAATTATTTAGTCTATTTAGCATATCCGCATATAAAATTATAGTTTGAAACAACAACAACATCCAAGTCTTATTCCTAAAAAATTTGGGGTCAGCAAAGAACACTCTAAGATAATACTCCGTATGTCTTTTTTTAAAACCGGGTCAATTAGGGTCAAACCCGGACCGGACCGGAAAATTCAGGTCCGGACCGGTCCGGACCGGTTAGATTCAGGTCCGGTCTTCGGTCCATAGAAAATGATGATTCCGGTTCCGGTCCTAACCGGTTCCGGTCCGGTCCGGTCCGGTTTTGGACCGGTGCACACCCCTACTCATAATTGTTGTACTCTGAGTCAACATTGTAGTTGAGCTTGGGAAGCAACTCTTAGTCAAGTTGCCCCTTCGTTCACCCTTACCAGACTCCCTAAGTTTGGGAACAATAGCCATGGAAAATCAAAGTGACGAGAAATTTAAAATAAAAATAGCTGGAGGTGCGCCTGACTGAGGCGACCCCAAACTGTAATTATTTTTGAACTCCCGATGCGGGAGCTGCCCTTAACCTCCCTGCAAAACGTTGTCTTTCGAACTGTGAACAGTTCTTCGAACTATGAAATCCGCACTACAGCAGCTCAAACCTATACGAATGGCTTCGTCTGGTGATGGTGAGCCTCATACCATGAACCAAATCCAAAAACAATCATCAAATTTTTAGCAATGAGTCAAAACAGTTCCGCACATGAACTATGTTCTGT